CTCTTGCTGTGCCCGAATCCAGTGGAATGCCAGGCAACTCTCTGTAGTCTCTTTTATAAAGGTGCTCATGGCCAAATCCCCTCCCACACCCCCATCTCTCCATTCCTCCACCTTGGAGGTTAAGATTTCAGTATTCAACCTGAATACTGGTGGAGATGACTGGTTACCTGCTGGTGCTGAGAGATGACAGGAAAGCAGGAGTTAGCTTGATGAGGATCCTCTTGTGGAAGTCATTTTTTTCTTGGCTAAAAAATGGTTGTAAGATTTAAGGAGACACCAGTGGTTTAGATGTGTATGTTCCGGCTCACTGAGTCTCCTTCTTGGTGCTGTGCCTTTTCCTTAGGATGGTGACAGAGGTATCTCTTGATGCCCCAGCCTTCACAGAGAGGAGAAAGACCTCCTCTGCTTTCTGCTGCAGGCTCTACTTCTATGCAGGCCAGCCTTGCACGTATGGGTCACGGTGAGCCTCCTGCAAGACTGTACCGACAGCACACTCACTGCAGAACAATGTCTGCAAAGCACAGTTGGGCCCCTGGATGCAGGTTGTTGTAGATTGTATCCTTTTCCCTAGTAAATGTCAGCTTGTTGTAATTGATCTTGTCAGGTACCAGACCCAGCCTCCATCCTTGGCCTGACACAGACAGAGGGACAGCCCTTTGGCAACTTCTGGGATCCTCCCCCCAAACTGTCAGTGGCTTCTGGCTGAAGCTCCATACTGGAGTCACTGACAAGCCATGGCCTTTCTGGGATGTCATTGACTGCTATCTGGATGTCAGTGCAGAGGAATGGGGAGGCCACAAAAGCTGTGATCTTGGTGGTCAAAACTGAGAGGTGGGACCAAAGGACTCTCGAGGACTTTGGAGGCCATAGGTGCCATGCAGGAGGCTCAGTGGCTTTGTGTGGTACTTCACTTCCTGGGCCACAAGAAACTCCCTTTGTTTGGAACTCACTTGGATCCTGATCATTTTTTTTTTTAAGTTATGATTATTATTTTCTAAAGTATACTTAGCATACATTTTATTGTTTTAACCATTTCACGTGTACCTCTTAGTATAAAGTACACAGCTGGTCCTGCAGGCCTGTGGTTCCATGTCTCTGGATCCAAACAGCTAGAGACAAAAGATATCAGGAAGAACACATCTGCACTGAACCTGTGCAGACTCACCACGAGTGCTCCCTAAGCCCCATGGTGTGACAGCTATGGATAGTGCTTCGGGGGGTGTGACAAGTTATACGGAGATGAGAAGCTGTGCCGTTGTATCCTGAGGGACTTGTGCATCCTTGGATTTAGGGTCCGAAGGGTTCCCAGAGTCCTTCCATGTTGCTAGCAAGGACGACTTAGTCAGTTGTGACTAACCCTTAGAACAGTTACATCTTGGGAAACTGAAACTCAGTACCCATCAAATACCAGCTGTCCACTCCCCACTCCCTGGTGGCCATCGCTGTGCTTTGTTTTTCCTGAATCGGCCCCGCCCCTGTATGGAAGTGGGGTTTCAGAGGGTCTGCTCCTTTGTGACAGCCTCATTGCATTTCACCTGTGTCTGCCAGGCTCATCCACGTTGCAGCCTGCACCAGGGTCCTTGCTCCTTAAAGCAGTGTCATTCCACTGTGCGTGGTGTATTCCGTTTCTAACTGCAGCCTCCTCCAGAGTCCTTGGTGTATTTTGGTCCTCAGCGTCCCCATGTGGAGGCCATCGGTACAGCTTCCCCAGCCACCGCAGTGGTTCTACACATGCATGAATTCCTCTTAACCTCCAAATCTGAGTGTGGGGCCAGGAGCGTCACTTCTGGAGGCTTTCCTGGGGGTTGTTGCAGGTGACCTCCTAGCTATATATGTTGGCTCAGAGGATGGGGCTCTGTCACCTCTGTGGCTTAGAGTCATTGTCACCCTGAATGTCACACTGGAGCAAGGCCAGGTTGGGGTAGGAGCCAGTCTTTCTCAGGCTGCTGGCACCAGGTCACGTGTCCGGGGCTCAGCCTGAGCCATGGCCCCTCCCAGGAGCTGACAGGAAAGCCTAGATTCCTGGCCACACTCTTCTGGGACTGCAGCATGGGGCGGCCCAGGGCTGTTGGAGCCTTGCTGTCCTCTCAGATGTACCCTATTATCTCCATTCTTCTCTTTCTAAGACTTATGTATGATTAGAGTTCTATTTCTGAGTTTAGAAGAAGTTTGTGTTGGTTGTTGAAACATGAAAAAAAGTTTTAAACAGACACAGAGAGGGAAATACACACCTTTGGTGGTGCCCACCCAAGAGGGACCCATGCTTAATACTGTTGTCTCTTTCCCTCCTGGGTTCTCCATGCCAGTTCTCAGAAAGGTACAGAGTAGACAGGAATCTGGGGATCCCCACTCTCAGGAAGGCTTCTGGCTCCAGGGTCTGGTGCAGGGTGGGACTGCATGTGCCCAGGCTGGTGTCCAGCCCAGCACAGGGCCAGAAAGCAGGCCAGCATCCTGTGAACTTGGCCATGTGTCTCATGTTCCTCTTGGTATCTGCTCCCTGCTGTGTCGACATGATGTCACACTGAGGCCCTTAACCCTCCGATGGTACCAAGGCCACTGGAGGGCTGGTCCTACCTCAACTGGCTATGGTTGTAATGAGAAGCCATGGTGGCTGGTGGCTTCTTTTCACTCCAGAGCAGAAACATAATGGTGGAAGAAAGGAAAGATCCTCAAATGGGCTTGAGAGGTGGGTACAGTGCCAGGGCCTGTTCCTGGGGAAGAGGGTGAGAATGTTCTAGCTGCCCCAGAAGGCTGAGTGCCGGTGGTAGCCCTGATCTGAGTGGCTTCAAAAGCCCCAGGGATATAGGACTGCTTCTCCTGGTTATGGCTCCAAACTGGCTGCAAAGGGGATTCCATATCGTGGGGGGCAAGGTGGTACGGGGAGTTGGGGGCCTGGGACCCTGTTCTTGGTGTGGATCTGGACCCTGGGTCACAGCTGCGTGAGAGGCTGTGGGTGGGTGGGGGTTTGCTTAGACACAAAAGAGTTACTACTATGTCCCAACAGCTTCATAAATATTTGGGGGGAAAAACCCTCACAAATTGAAAGAAAATAGCATGTTTTGTTCATTATCAAGGAGCTATGTCCTTTCTTGGCTTCTTAAATCCTGGACTACCCCTCTCATTTTATATTCTGCATGGAATTTGGTGTGGTGATTAAAAAATCCAGCTCCATAAAGGTATGACACTCTAGGAAGCAATGTGGCATGGTCTCACACTAAAGCCAGGAAGAGTCCCAGTCAGCAGCTTGCAAGATGTCTCAGAGGTGTCACTGACTCCTCCAAACATTTACAGTACCCAGGTGGTACCCCTCAGTGAGTGCTCTGGAGTGTGGGGCACTTCATGGCACCCTGGTCATGATCTCTGGCACTGTTATCCTGTTTTACCGGAGGTGCAAGCCAAAGCTCAGAGCAGCCAAGATCCTGGCCTAAGTCTACAGTGCTCTGTGGAGAGTGGGGTCGGCCAGGTCTCCTGGCACTCTGAGGACCTGTGGGGCTCTCAGCAGACCACAGGAGTTGCGTGGGCATTTTCAGGGTCCTGAGCACTTCCTTCTCCCTCTGGACCTGAAATGCAGTCCATTTGCCATGCCCAGGCCTCAAAGAGATAGAGCTGGACTGTGACAGCCTGTTGTCTCTCCACCCTACAGGTGGCCCGCTGTGTTCCTGCTGTGTTCCAGACCCCATGGGACTCTCCTTCCTGCCCACCTACGGCTGCCAGAGCAACCGCACAGCCAGTGTGGCAGCCCTGCGCATGAAGGCCCGTGAGCACTCGGAGGCCGTGCTGCAGTCAGCCAACCTCCTGCCGCCTGCCAGCAGTAGCCCCGGCCCTGCCACCAAGCCTGCTCCCCCAGATGGTGGCCAGGACAAGACAACACCCACCAAGGACCAGAGTGAGGGTGAGCCGGGTGTATGAGAGAGCAGGGCCCTGCTACCTGTACCCTCCCCACCCGGCTCCTCTCCTCACCTTGGCCCTGTAGACCCTCAACAGCAAGGACAACCTACAGCCAGCCTCTGTGGAGGCCCAGGAGGGGAAATTGAGGCCAGCAGCTCTCTGGGTGTCTGGAGAGTCCCCTTGGGGTCCCAAGCCACAGGTCTCCATGGTCCAGGATGGCACAGGAGTGGTCTCTGTGGTGAGACCCCTTGGGGGAATCGGAGGGAGGCAGACTGACTCATGCCACCAGCTCTCCTGTGACCTTCCCAGGTGGGCAGCCTTGGACAGTTCTGTCAACCCCAAGATTGGGGTCATCCTTGAGAGATGCTGAAGGGCTGTCTCCATGGCATGCATTGCAATGGTCTGTCACATCATTTAAGAACCTTGGACCTGGGGTAAACAGCCAGCTGTGCATCCCTGGGCTGAGGAGAGCGGCAAGGCCCTCTCCCCTGTGGGGACAAACTTGGGGACAGTAGGAGGGGGAGGTGTGGGCAGGGAAGAGCCCAGGATCTCAGCCTTCCCTGGCTGCTGCACGGCCTGAAGATCTCACTGGCACAGCTGGCACAGGGCCACGACTGGCTCTGGGACCTGCCCAGCTTACTCGGGAGTGCAGAGCACATTGGGTCCCCACCACTGAAGCGCCCCATGGGCCGTGCCTGTGCCCTGAAGAGACCTACCTGGTGATGGGCAGGACGTGATCAGCTGTAGAGCAGCTTCCAGCCCAGGGAAGGGGGAGACTGGGGCGAGAAGGAGCCAAGACATCTCTAAGAGCTGCTTGCGACTGGATCACCACTTTTCCCCGAATTCCTGGTACCGCCTGCGGGAAGCTTGTTACCAGAAGGGAAAAAGGAAACACAGTGACAGTGATGGGACTGGCGTGTGCAGAGGTGGAGCCAGGCAGGCGGCGTCCTCCCGGGTGCCGCACAGCCCTTCCAAAGGGCCGAATTTCATGGAGAGATCTGCCGCCGCTATCCAGCGTGGCTAACTGCTCTCGTGTGGACGGTGACATCCAAGGGGAAAAGTGCAATAGCATGATCCCTGTCCTGCCAGGTGCCTGGAAGGTCACAGTCTCTGGTGGCTTTTGCCCATAGTGTCCCATTGCAAACAATTACTGCTTTTACTGTGGTCATTTTCCTTTCAGTTACTGTAAGCAGAAGGTTCTACTTTCTAATCAGAAGGTCCTGCCCCTGTTACTTTCCCTGGTCCCCCCTCCCCCTCCTCCTGAGTGTATCATGCCTCGTCCCTAATTCCTGCAAAGCAACTGATAAAACACGCTGTCTCTTTAAAAAAAAAAAAAAGAAGTCAGATCCTTTCTCCTGCTGTATTTTGCTTGTTGAGTACAAAGATGAAATGATTTGCCAAAAAGCGGCAAAGTGGCTTCCGTTCCCTGTAATTACGAATGTTCGGTTGAGCAATGTGAGCTCCAGCCCTTATGCACACTAACTCTTCAATCTAATTGTTTGATTAAACTCGTATTTCCTCCAGAAAGGTACATAAATAAGTGAACTGTTGGGCAAATTAAGAATACTTAACAGCATTGCATCCGAAAAGTAGTTACGCTGATTAAATTTTGTGTCCTTGAGGACTTTCAGGAAATTACTTTTGATCGTCAATAACACAATTAAGTAAACTACACACACATTAGCATGAATAATTGATAAGAAATTATGTATTACCACGAAGCACTGATTTAATAATTCATGACGCGACACTCTAGTGACTGTGCAAAACTGGATAACATCAGAAAGTCTGCCTGATGTTACGGAAAGAAAGGAAAAAAGCAAGCGCCGAACCTCTACAGAGATATCGAGTACTTAGTTTTGTTGTACAAAGGCAAAAAAGTAACCGATGCATGCTGTAGTTTCTGTTTGTTTAAATACCCAAATAAATTTAGCAGAGTCCAAGGAGTCACGCAGCGCAGGTCCTGTCTTTGTTCCTCCCGGCTGGGTGGAGCCTGCTTCTCTAATGCTCCACTTTGGCCACTGTGTACATGGAAGGAAAGCTTTCAAAACTTTCAGGGTGGGGGGAACTTTGAGGTCTTGGCTCAGGAACCTTTTAGAAGATGTGGACAAAGTGGAGGCCCCTGTGCAAGCTAACACCCTCCCCTTGGTGCCCAGGCCTGCAAAAGCCAGTCCTGTCCCTGGGTGGAAGGACGTGGCCTCACTAGACCCCTCAGCCAACGGCCCCTTTGGGGAGCCATTGGGGGGCCTCTGTGTGCTGCCCTGTCTGCAGAAGTTCATGATGAGGCTATAAAAAGGTAACAGGGCTTCGGGATGGAAAAAAGTCTCAGGCCCCAGGGATGGGTGGATTGATTAATTATTATTATTCATTTATTAGTTGGAGCACTCTGAAGGACACTCGTAGTGCACTCCAGGCCTATGCACAGTGGCCAGCCTCGTTCAGCATGATGGGTTGGGAGAGGGACATCAGTGGGGGTGACAGGGAGTCTGGCCGGGACTTAGAGCCCTCTGGGTGGGAGACACTGAAGGACTCACAGGCATTCTCCATCCTTCTGCTGGTACTTTATTTAGGGACACCCACACTGGGCCTCTCAGCTGGCTAGAAAGGGTTTCCTTAAACTCTGCCAGTCTCAGAATCTGGGAATCAATGTGTATGACCTTGCTTAACCCCAGTGGCCAACCCACAAAGTGCTTACAGCATGAGGATCCCATATCTGAAAATCTGATGTCCAAAACTGAAAACTTTTTGAGTGCCATCATGATACCGTGGTGGAAAGTCCCGTACCATGACACTTATATTTCCATGCACAAAATGATTACAGATTCCTTCAGGCTGAGAATATATAGGGAATGTACGTGAACTTCGCAGCTATGCTTGGGTCTTAGCCCCAGGCTAGCCCTTTCTATATGTGCAGACATTCCAAAATCTGAAATGTTCCGAAATCTGAAGCAGTTTTGGTCCTAAGCACTTGGGGAGGGAGTCTGAAATGCCTATTGCAGTGCTCATTTCACAGAGAGGACAACTGAGGTCAGCAGGGTGGGGAAACCTTTCCAAGGTGACCAGTGGCCTCCGGTGTGATGGATCTCAACCCCACTGCAGTCACAGGGCCTGTACCTCACACATGAACTGTCAAAATTAGCCAGCTTGTTTCTAAGGCCCCGAAGGGCAATGGAGACCCTGGCAGGCCACTTGGTCCTGCATGGTAGGCCAAAGCCAGGGTGTACCTGTTTGCCCAATGCCTGGGCTATGGCAGGGGAGGATGCACCACCCAGAACCCTATCAGACCTGCTTAGCAACTATCTACCTTGGGCCAGAGGCCTGACAGGGTGGTTGACCTGACCCATTTGTTCTGGCCCTGAACCAGCCCACCTGGCCTTTCAGTCTGTTTTTTCCCCTGAGCAGGCCTGGCCAAGACTGCCAAGAGGATGGTGCCTGTCCAGCATTCCAGGCCCCTCAGATGGTTTTCCTAGATGGACCCTCAAGAAGGTGATAGAAATTCCCAACCAACCCACTTGATAGAGAGAGAGAAAGAGTCTCTCTCCTGGCTTCATCAGAAGTGAAGCTTTTGTTTTGTGACGTTGGGATCAAAGCCAGAGCCTTGTGCTTGCTAGGCAAGGCCTCCACTGCTACTCCCAGCCCCAAGGTGAAACTGACAAATTCAGAGTTGAAGGGAAAAGAGAATTTGCTGTTTGTTTGAAATCCCACTTCTTATGGCTATGTGATTCCAGACAAGACACTTAAACTGTCTGTGTCTGGGTTCTCTTATATACTAATGGCTGCAGCCTCCTAGGACTCCTTGAAGATTGAATGCAATAGACAGATGCTTGGTGCCTGGCCCAGAGGAAGTTCAAAAGAAGTGGCTGGTTCTCATCCCAACAAGCTCATGTACAACAGAGCCTTGAAGACCCTAGACTGCAGAACAACAGGAAGGAGTCACAGGGCTGGAGATGACTGCACAGTTGACCATCTCAGGCTGAATTGACCCACACACTGAAGCCGAGAGACCCTCCTTGGCCAGCCCCTTCCTCCCCTGAGTGTGATAGATCCTGTTCCATCCTTCATGGTAGGCTCCCCAGGTTCCTTGTAGGTAGAGCCTTACCCCCGGGGAAGGAACATCGTTGGTCCAGCTGGCAATGCCCAGCCCTCCCTGTGGGTGAGTCTGGGGAAGGACTGGGTGTGTGTGGGGGTCTGAGGTGGGACAGCTGGGCCCACTGCCATGGAAATCACTGGATGGGTCACTGTGTTTCAGGAAGAAAGAGATAGCATGGGCCTCTGACTCATCACTAAGAAAAGCGGCCACTCAGCTCTATCCTGGGCTCCATGCAGGGACACAATCAAATATTTTGCATGACAGATGCTGTGAATGTGTGCACAGACACACAAGGTGGGGTGTGTCCACCGTGCTCCCAGCTCGGACCTGGGGCACATGAGCCATGTTCTCATTGCCTCCAGGGACAACAAATCAAAACTGTAGGATCCTGGCAAAGCAGGCTGATGGGAGTCTACTATGCCCCCAGCAGGAGGCTGTGTGAGTGTAGGATCCTGCCTCTTACCGAGGGCAGATGTTAGAGATTAGCCCTGTGCTCTGCTCATACAGGGATGAGAATGCCACCTTTCTGAGCCACTTCAGGAAAAAGCAAGGTGTCTTAGTGTCAAGCAGTACCCACAGGGTCCCTGGAAGCCTTTGGGGTCTCTTCTGTACTCTGTCTGGTACCTGGCCTCTGGGTACTTAAGCCTGGCCTATATCTGATATTTCTAGGAAGAAGAGGCCCATCTGGACCAGTCAGCTTCTCTGGAGCCTGGCCGCTGCTCTTCAGTGGTCTTCCCTCTGTGCTGGGTATATGTGGGGGTGGTTGTCCAATATGTGACACCCCGATAGGGTGATAGCAGCTACATGGGGCTGGGTAAGCATCACAAGGACTAGGAATCAGGGTTGGCACTGACGGCTGTGTGGCCCAGAGCAAGCCACTTCACTTCTGTGGGCCTCTTCTCCATCTGTGTGGTAGACATAACCCTCACAT